CTACAGGTACTTACATATTAACTTAAATAGCTTTACCCAAACATTGTGCCAAAGAAAAATAAAATAAAGAAAGCAGTAAAAGAGTTCTGTGCACCACTAAAAGTCATGTGAACTGCTTACATGCCATGGTTTCCTTCTATGGTGTTTATAGGCCCATATTTTCTTTTCATCTATGTCTTTGCAAATCAGCAGTGACTTAATTGAAAAATAGAAACAGTGCTCTAAAACTTGTATGAGAGGGAAATCACACGCAGGGCCAGCCAACAATCTTTGGGGACCCCCTGCAGGATGTAGTTCTGGGGCCTCCTCATCCCTCGCCGGGGCCAAGAACTCCTCCCAGTGCTCAGCTGGTAATTAAACAAATGTCCCAGCACACCAGATGCAGTGGAAGAGGTGGCAGATTCCAACCGCAACAAGGTAGAAAAAATAGCCAGACCAGTTCCCCGGTGCCACGAGGAGGCACTCTGTCCCTGCCCCTGCCTTGCTTCACCTTGGGGAGGAGCCGCTGCCTGAGGCATGAGGAGCTTACCTCTAGTAAATGTCCTGTGCCACCAGGCTCCTGATGCCTCTGCTGCGCTCTGCGCCCAGCTCCTCACCAGGCAGGTATGCAGCAAGATTTTAAATTGTGCGCAGCCGCGTATGCACACGCCTTGGAGGGAACCTTGCTTCCAACCCTAATTGTCTTTGATAATGTATACAAGTATTTATATTGAATGTAGTCTTGAGTCAGTGCACATCACCTATTCCCATTGTAATCTCAGCTGTAGAGCAAACAGTTCCAAAATATTAACTAGCCCTTTATTGGAAATAGGTAAAGGACCACTTTAAACAGGGAGCTTTAAGAGAAACTCTTTAAAGGTTCTGAGTTCCTGTGGAAGCCAATGTAGACATAAGTACTTGATTGCAGATAGAGCAACAGGGCCCAGAACTGGTGGCAGTTACCTTGGAAAAAGAAAAGTCTAATTTCCTAAATATTGTAGCCTCTCCATGTAAAATAGGATCCAAACTTCTACTCAACTTAACTGCGATAATATAAGACAAGGTAGATTTGCACCTTATAGACTAAGCTAGATATATATAGCTTAGTATATCAAGGTGCAAATCTACCCTGCCTGTATATAAAACTGGCCAGATATAAATATATAACACAAGCTTTCATGGGCCAATGCTCATTTTAATCAGATGCTGTGAAAGGATGTGCATGAAGCTTTGTATAAGGAAGAAAAACTGGACTACAAAAGCAGAAGAGGGGAAGGGCAGTGGTGGAAGAGGCAAACATGCAGGTAGTAAACCCATGGAAACAAAGGAATTGCAACACTTAATACAGGTAACAGGTTAAGAATGCACAGTTCCTTTTTAAACCATGCTTAAGCAATCTAATGTGGGGGTGACTTCCTGTTCTGTTGTTTCTCAGTCAAATAGTTTTTAAAGGTTTGCTGTCTGAGAAGAGCCACCCTCAGGTGAATGATGGAGTGTCCGGGGAGACTCATGTATTCTGCCATAGGCAGGCTTACGAACTTGCATTGCTTCATGGTGAGCTCCCAGCTTGTTCCATCCCACTAGAGCTGGCTGATGATGAACCACTAGTGGGCATATTTAGCCAACATGTAATTTAGCCTCCACGAACAGCTACTGATGCATATCCATGCCCAAACCTAGATTCCCCCAATAGGTGGTGACCTGAGGAAATGTGCTCTTCTATGCACGTGGGGCAAGATATGGGATATCACTATACCCAGACTACTTACAGAAATATAAAAACAGACATTGTGGTGGCTCAGCATAAGCAAAGGCACAGGCAGCTATGGCTGGCAGTGTTTCACTTGTTAGAGTCCAACCTGTGTGGCCTAGGTTCCAAACACAGCTTCAAAACAAAAGGATCACCTGATCGGATACCCAAATTGGCAGGGTTGGGTCAATGAACCATTCTTCCCAAGGAAACTTGAGCATGGTCACATTGATTGACCTGCTTAAACAAAGGATGAAAGCCCTACTTGTTCCCAACAGTGGAGCCCATGGCCAAGCTCTACTACTGCTGAATCACACTTCCGCAAACTAGGGTTTGCCCCTCAAGGTCAGGGGCGATGCATAGGGGGTGCACGCAGGTGCACGTGCACCCCCTGAGTGTGGCAGCACACCCCTTACAAAAAGACTGCCAGCAGTGTCTGTGGGTGGTTGCTGACCCCTGGTTGGCACTCCCCATGCCCCACCGCCAACAGTGCTGGGGGTGTCTACGGGAGGCCTCACTTACCGCTACCGTGCTTCTGCCACAACGTTTCTGCTGCCACCATGCCCCCCCAGCCATCGGAGGCACGCATTGTTCATGCTCAAGGTGGTATCTGTCTGAGATTCACTTCACCTCTAACTGGAAGGAGGTGCTCTGGAGAGAGAAAACAATACAGGTTTCCTTTACTTTATGCTATACATGTGTTCCTGGAAAATAGCGCATAACCTAAATTTGCATAAAGGGAGCCCACTTTACAATGTAACAAATAGGCACATGTTCCAAGGCCTTGACTGTATTGACCCCAGACCCATTTCTACCACTTTTCCAAGACAATAGTGGTACTCACCAACAGCAAACAGTACATGCAAGCACAGGGTGATAGTGAATGTTACCATAATGGGGATGGCAAATACAGCAACACGTGTCGCAGACAAGGAGTGAGGAGCACAGATCCACATAAGAGATTATATTTTGGTGTGCATCACTCCCACAATGCACCGCACAAAACAGCTGACTGTGGGCTTCCACCACACTGATCACGTAAGAGTGAATTTACCTTGCATATAACAATTTTTCTGGTATAAAAAGGGTCATTGCATAAGGGCAAATTTGCACATACAGAACCCACATAAAGCGAGGGAAACCTGTATCTCCATACACTAGAGGCACAATGGTCTTGAAGAAACCTGTTGCAGAAGATGCTGGTGCCTGAGATCCGGCCTAGATGCACGGGGCCTTGATCCCAAGCAGCCTGTGCATGGTTTCTCTATGAAACTGGTCTGACACGAGATCACAACTGAAGCTGGACTCTGCCCCTCCCAACTCTGTTGCCTGGACTGGGAGGGAGGAACGAGTGCGGAGCTGGATGGGGTGCTTGCACTCCACCTTAGGAATGAAATGGCCTTAAGAAAAGCTGGGCTGCTGCTGCCACATTAGCCCTGCTGCCGGGGGGCTGCTTCCTGGGGGGGTGGGGACTGAACTGGTGACTTGAATGCCCTGCAGCTGGTAGAGACCCAGCTTGGCCCCTTCCCCCAGCCAGCCCTGGGCTGCAGCCCTCTGGCGGGCCCCCCTTGGTTGCTTGGCCCATGATCTGCACCAGCTGCACAGGCCCCGTCAACTCCCCCAGCCCCTCTCAGCAGGGCCTCCCTGGTGGGCACCTCGGGGTGGGGGTCTCCAAACAAGGAAATGCCCGGCTGGCGGGCAAGGAGTCCTCCTGGGGGGCACCCAGTGGTGCCTTGGGCACTAGGGCCCCTCAGCCGCCGCTCCCCCGCCCCTTTACCTGCTGCAGCTCCCGGGCCGAGCGGGGCGGGGCCGCTGCATCCAGCTGTGGGGGCCGCTGGCTTGCAGCTGGCGCCCTCGGGGGCGTCCTCGGCGCCGGCTTCCAGCTGCGCCCCCAGCCCCCCCCACCGCCAGTGGATCCGTGCCCGGCTCCCCCTCCTCTCCCCTCCCTGCCTGCCTGCCAGCATCAGCAGCATCCATCTCCCTCCCTGCTCCGCCCGCATGGAGAGGGAGAATGGCGGAGAGAGAGAAAGGAGCCGCGTCCCCCGCCGGATCGTCTCCCTTCCTGGGGCTGCACCTCGCCTCGCCTCCCAATTTCAGGTACCGGCGCCTCCTCCCTGCCTCCCTGCCCGGAGCCCCGGGTCTGGCCCCGGAGGGAGATGGGGGAAGGGAGATCTCTTTGATCCTCTCTGCTTCCCCCCTACATCCCTCCGCCTTCTGCAGAGCTGGGCTGGGCACAGGGTGAAGCCCAGCTCCCTTCTCCCCCACCCCCTCTCCTGCCCGGGGAAGATCTGGCTGGGGCTGCTCTGAGCAGGGGGCTGGGCTGGGGGACCTCCTGCAGTCCCTTCCACCCTCGTTTTCTACCATGCTGAGATGCCCGCAGGTGTTTGCACCCCCTGCCCCCTCGCTCTTTACTTCTCTCCCAGGCTGTGCCCCTGCCTGGGCAAGGGGCTGCCTCCCCCAGGAGACGTGCAGCGGCTGCCCCACTGAGGGGGTGGGGGCAGGGGAGAACAATGCCCACCTGGGGCTGGCAGGGGTGTGGTCACCCCTCCCACCAGGATCAGGGTATTAATGACTCCTTTCCCTCAACCTAGGGTCTCCCCAGCGTCTGCCCTGGAACAGGTGGTGTCTGTCAAACCTTTCTCTGTTATCTAGGGAGGCAAGAGGAGGAGGGGGACAGGTGCCTGGAGAGCCAGATGTAGGCTTTGATCACTTTGAGCAGCCCCTTGCCAAGGGAGGGTTGGCATTTAGCCATAGGGTCAGACCCCCCTCCCCTCACATGGGATTTCTCCTACCAGGAAGGAGGGGCAACATGGAAGAGCTCTCTCCTGGGTGGGGCTGAGCAACAACCAGCATCCCACAGGTGCACATGTGTGTGCACACCCATGCACAGCCTTCCTCACCCCAGGCCCTCTCCCTCAAAATCTACACCTAGGGCTGCCCCCAGATATTCCATGCATGCACCCTTTCTATGCCCACTTCCATATCCTCACACCTCCCTCGCCCATCACGCCCACATCCGCACACCTGCCTTACCCATCTCACCTCCCTCTACATCTCCCATCCCCCCACAAGAAAACCTAGAACTCCCCATACCTCCTTCAGCCTCCTCCTACTTCCAGCCCCAGCCTCCATATCCCCATACATGAGAAGCCTTCCTCCATACCCCCACTTCTTTCTCTGGGAAGCCTTCCTCTCCATAAAAATACAGCCACCCACTCTTCTTCCAGAATCACCTTCTGCCTCTCAGAATGCCTCCTCTCCGGCAAACGCCCATCTCCCAAACCCTACATATGATCTCCCAAAGGCAGAGCCCTGCCCCAGGAAACCTGAAACAAACCCTGGAGGATGCAACAGATTTACAATCGATCCTCCCGGAAACATCCCATCGATTTGGATCACAGAACTTTGGAATCTGAATGCCATGGGACTATTCACAATGACGCCTGCCAGCCGCAGGCAGAGGCAAGAGCAGAGGGGAACTGATGTGCCTGTAGTTGCCTGGATGAGAGATGGGCACAAGTGACAGTATGAGGCTCAGGATGCTGCCTGGTGACCCAAAGCAGGGTTAGGCATGATTTGCATCTTAGGAATGGGGCCATGGCCTCACTCTTTGTCATATATAGACCGTGTCCTTATTTTTACCTGTGGTTTTGGGGTCTGGATGTTATTTGTCTCCTAGAATTCTGAGCAATTATTGAGCGTTGGGAATGGTGGGGCTGAACGACTGACACCGCTTCAGGTCTGGAGGGAAGGCAGGTTCTGTACTGAGATTCCAGGCAGGGCAAAGATAGACGCCCCACATTTGCAGCTACAGGTAAATGTGTTATATTTGATTCTGTAGGAGTCCAGGGTCTGAGGTTTGAGGCAGGAGATAATCTGGCATCCTCTTTTTTGAGAGAAAATTGGTATGTGTTCTGGGCTTTGTGGGGCAGGGTGATTTGCCTCTAGGGGACTTGCCCTCTCTGCAAACTGTCTGTCTGTCATTAGGTTCTGGAGGCTCCTGTGCTGAATAGCCTTGGGGATTCAGCAGACAGCAGCCTCCTCGCTGCCTTTCAGTTCCAGCAGTGCCTGTTTGATTTGTTTGAAGCTATTGCAACATGGCTGGATAAACCCTGCAAATTAAGCAATTAAAGCTGCCTCTGGAAATGTCCACTATGGAGAAACAGCTTGGCCACAGAGCTGGGTAATATGAGCCCAGCAGCAGAGCTCAGTTCAGCCTGGTCCCGTGACAGTCTCGGGCTTGCTGTATGCTGCTCTCCTAGATACAGCATTTGTCTCCTGGGCTCTATCTTCTCAAATGTAAACAGCAACACCCAGGGAAGGATGAGCAAGGTGCCAGCACCTTCTGTTGTCCAGATCCTTCAGAAATGGAGTCCAAATTCTGACATCCTGAGCTCAGAAAAAGGCTTTACTGATAAAAGGAGCTGGAAATGGTTACGCCTTGTGGAGAGAGGTGTCCCAGTCCTGAGTTCTATTTAGGAGAGTATGGGGGGCTTTACAGTTAAGATGAAACATTCCTAAGTTTGGGGTTGTGTTTTTGAGATTGAAGAAACAATCTGGGATTTCTGAGCTTTGGGAAGAATTATGAGATCTCAAATAATATTTAGTGGTCAGTGGCCCCCTGGGGCCGCCCCATTTTGTTGCAAATTACATTATCTGACAGGTGCTAGCACTAAGGAGCCCTGAGAGCCGCATGTAAGGAGAGAGTCTGAATGATAGCTGCCTTTTGATTCATCTAGCCTTGCTGTAGCCAACTCAGCTCCAGCACCTGTGAGAAGAAATCTCTCTCTTACGGTGCCCACTGTAGAGACAGCACTGATTTCAGCAAGAGATAGAGTCAGGCCAGGGTATGCAATGAAGTGATGTGTAAACCATGCAGCATTTTAATGCTGTGCTTGTAGCAGGAGGTGAATCCAGTGCCACTGCTGTTCCCACTTTTGAATAGATTCCCACCAGTATTTCTGTAGGTGAACGGTACCTGGTGCCCCCCCTTAGATCTAGAAGGGAGCCAGTTCTTCCAGCTGGCCTCAAATGGACAAGATGGGAGGCAGGGGTCAGAGGTTCTGGTAAGATATCACCTAATATGATGATCTGGCATCATCTGTGAGGGGACTGAGGAGCCAAGGACTGTGGTCTAAGCCCCTTATGTAGAAGAGGCCATTGGGTGGGGAGGTCATCTGCTCTATGTGTTTTTGAGGGGAATTCTACAAGTCAGAGATGGAAAAGGCACCATAGGTCCCATTCATTTTTCTATTTGTCTCATGGCCGTAAGGCAGGATTGGTCCCTTCAGTCTATTTCCTGTGGATTTGTCCAGTCAACTCTTTCTGGGAGACAGTTTCCAGATGATGCCAATTACCGGTGTCTTTTTCTGGGAGACAATTTCACAGCCTCCCACACAGCCTGCCCGGAAGTTTTTCTTGAGTTTAGACTAAATTTACATTGCGTCATTCCAGCCTATTATTAATTCTACCTCTTGGGAACAATGGAAAACTGCAGACTTGGGTCTCCCAGAAAGGTGGATGGTCTTAAAGGGAAGGCTTCTCTCCCCTTTCTCACCCAAAGTGAATGCAATGAGGACATCAGGATAAGCTTCTTTGGGTATAAACCAGCATCACTAAATGAAGTAGATCAGCTGTGCCAGGATATATCTCAGTATGAATCCCTGGGCATGCCTCTGCAACAAAGGGGAAATCTGGGGTTTTCCCATTTTGCAGACATGTTTCTCAAGTCAGATTCCCTGCGTGCACATCTCTGCAAACAGAGAAACCTTGGGTTTTGTCAATAGCAGAGGCATGCCCCACATCAGGGCGCAGCAGAACAATATGTGATGAGGGAGTGCCCTGCTGGGGGATTTCCAGGGTGCACCTGTGCAAATGGGGGAAGCCAGGCAGGCACTCCTGGGACTCTAGGGACCCAACCCTGTATGCCCTGGAAATGGGAATTCCTGGGGTATGCAGGATTGGGCCTCTGAAGCTCTGGGAGCTCCAACCCAGGGCAACTGGAGAGTACAGGCAGCTCTGGGTTGCCCACACTCTCCTGACTTAGAATCATAGAAAATTAGGGTTGGAAGGGACC